CGTTTTTGCAATACAAATATGGTTTGAATGTCTGCCGCTTTACCCGACATGAGAATCCCGTAGGACATTATACTATGGAAGTAACTAGAGTAAACTAGTCTAGCAGTAATCCGTCATTTCCATACTCACACCTTTCTTTTTCCTCTCACCTTTTTATCACCCTCTTTACTGGTTCCTGGCCACTTACTTTTAAAATTTTGAACCGTTCTCGAATCCCTTTTTCTTCACTATTCTTACTTTGCTTCTCACCGTCATCACTCCCATCAAAACTCGCGAAACGAGAGGTTGTGTTTATACATCATCTTCATGTACTAATAATAATATATTATATATTAGAAATATTAGACAACATAACATACGTTGCTCTGGTCCCAAAGTACCACAAACACCCCGACCCGAGACGATTTAGAAAAGTTAGTTTCTATATTAATCTAATCGGGGATCGAACCCAGAACCTCAGATATGTCGACACCATGAAAACTAGCGTGCCACTCGACCACTGAGGTCGTCTGTAAGACTCAAACTTCGCGTGATTTACTGTTTTAAAACTCAAGAAAAACATAGTGTGAGACGCCCTGCGGCAAGATGGACGGACGACCTGAGCAATGGGGCCGGCAGTGGCTGGATACGAGCGACACAATACCGAGAAAGTTGGCGTACTCTAGGGGAGGCTTATGTCCACAGTGGTTGTGTATAAGCTGATGACGATGATTTTAAACTATATACTTGTAAATAAATTATGTGATCTTCCTTTTCTTTTCTTTCGGTAAGGTTAGGCCTATTCCCAAATTTGTGCCCAGGTAATTGGCATGCCTGTATCGAACATGGTTATTTGTGTCTTAAGCCAAAATGCGGCCAGGTTATTTGAAACGCTTGTGCCAATATATCCCATTGCCTCTATGAGAAAGGAAGTGGCGCAAAGCATAATGTAGTAATGGAATTTCTCGGTTCCCTACATTTTTCCTCTCCCACTTTGATGTTATAATTGAATCACTTATGGAAGAGAATGTCCGCTTCTCACTGCGTGGAATGTTTCTAATTATCGCACAATGTAATTAATATAAACGTCTGTGAATATATTATTTTATTTCTGATATGTGATTGATATTATTTTAGGTAATTTATTTAAATTTATTTTTCAAGGGTTATTTTTTCTATTGATATCAAGTGACAGAGCGAACAAGTTGTGCGTCTGGTGTTATACGACACGCCTGTCCGTCGTAGTGCCACTCAGAGTTTAAATCGCAAAGATCTGAGGGACATTGTTACTGCACCTGTCACGCTGAGACATAAATTGACAAGTCCCATGTGCATGTGATTTCACCGGCACCCTCTCCTTTCAAAACCGAAACACGGTAATACATACTGCAGTAATCTGACACTGCTTGGCGGCAGAAATAGGTAAGGTGACACTACTTCCCTGGACGAACTCTGTCACAGGGAGATCTTCTGCTATTAAAAATCGGAAAAGTCGGAAAAAATCTCCGGAGAGACATTATGTGTAGTAATAATATTGTGTAATGTTTGTTTTAGTAGTCAGAAATGTTTTTTAACAGATGATACACGTGCAGCGATAGCTGTGCTATTGCTTGTATATGTATAAAATTTACTAAATACGAATAATTAAATGCTAATATGCCCTTAGTTTTACATGGGAAATTATTTTTTTTCGTTACCCTTTAGTTATATAGGTAAGTAGAAGGCCGGGAAATCCAATATGTCGATGAGTATATCTACCTGGGCCAGTTAGCAAGCTTCGAAAACAGGCAAGATAAGGAAATCGGTCGTCGAATAGAGAACGTCTGGAAGAGCTGGCTCTTGAAGAAGTACTTGAAGGGTAACCTCCTTACGCCAATTCAACGATATATACACACATCAAAAAAAGTTTGCGATCACTTCGAAAAACTGAAATCTTTTTTGTTACTGTAGATTATATTATGATTTTTTCTTCTTTTTAGATTCTTTATTTAAAAATAAATTAGAACATAAAACAATGACCCCGTTCAATTGTTTTTTCATATAAAAAGGCTTTCAGTCCTAGCTTACGCTCATTCAGAAATCTGATTTAGTCAATTATAAGCGATTCAAGATATTTTTCGCGGAAAGTTGTGATTGAAAAAATGCCAAGAGGATTATCTGAGGTTTTACGAGCTAGATTAGTAACTTTGAGGGAAGAAGGATACACCACGAGAGTAATAGCACGCAGACTTGCTATATCCCAATCCTGTGTCGTGGCTACGTTGCAGTGGTATCACGGAATGGGGAATTTAGCTGACCGACCCCGCAGCGGTCGCCCAACTGTTTTGACAGCTGCCCAAAAGCGCTATATTAGATTGCTGGCAGCCCGTGATCCAACAATCAACGCCACTAAAATAAAAGCAGAAGTCAGGGCCGCCTCTGGGCTTGAAGTTAGCACGCAGACCGTTCGCAATTGCTTGCACCAGGCTGGTTTACGAGCACGGAGGTCTTGGCGAGCTCCGCTCAATTCCCGGCAACGTCAACAACGAAGATTGCAGTAGGCTAGACTTCGGCAAAATGAAGAAGGTGAGAACGAAAACATTTGGCAAAACTGTCTCTTCGTTGACGAATCCCGAATCAGCACTCATCCAGATAACCGACGTGTCCGTGTCTGGCGAAGACCAGGCGACCGTGAAAGACAAAGAACTGCCACTGGAACAGTTCAGCAAGGCGGAAAATCGGTGTCCTTTTGAGGTGGCATTATGATTGGAGCTAGAACGCCTTTGATCCCGTATCGGGGCTTCATGACAGCAGACATGTACAAAGCAGTTGCTATTGATGATATCGTCAGACCATTCCGAGTAAACCATGGGTACCAATTTGTACTGGTCGATGATAATGCGCCCGCACATCGAGCTCAACGAGTCAATGCTGCTCTTCAAGAATACGATATCACACGATTAGACTGGCCTGCCGGCTCGCCCGACTTAAACCCAATAGAGCACGCGTGGCATGCTCTTAAACGAGCAGTATGGAACCGTGAGCCACGTCCCCAGACAGTTCCAGAGCTCAGGGAAGCCGCTATTGAAGAATGGGATAGGTTACCCCAGGAAATGCTGGATAACTTGATCCTCAGCATGCCCAGGAGGTATTCGAGCCAGGGGAGGAGTTATTTTATATTGAATTCAAACCTTTTAATAATAAATTGTTGTTTAAGTTTAATTAAACAGTCTTTTTCTTTCTATGAAATTTCTATCACTATTACATTATGATTAATGGCTCAATTTTTTAAAATAAATAATAAAAAATAGCTTTATATTTTAATTTCAAACAGGGTATTCCTATTTAAAGAAAGCATACAACATAGATTTTTTCTTGATAAAGTTAAATTTAAAGAGTTATAGGAGCTTATGCTATTGATCGCAAACTTTTTTTGATGTGTGTACATCCTGCCCGCCCTAACCTACGGTGCACAGACATCGCTGACCTAGTTCCAGAACTCTTAACTCAAGACCTGCCAGATGGAACGCATCAATCTGGGCTTTAATAATAATAATAAATAAATAATTTATTTGGCATCCAAGGCCCACTTGTTACTAAATACAGACATTTTTAAACTTATGACTATTGTTGGTAAATACAGAGATAAAACATAAAAACATTTTATTTCGTTCGAGGCACCGCCGGTTACCCCATCACCTCACCAGAATCCGGACGAAATAGCGAAGCATCGGTGCATAGGGGCTTAGCCGGAAACGTTTTCAGGATGCTGTTAGGACTAGAACGCAGTCTAGAGAGCAGTGAAGCCGTCTTTTTTCGCATCACAGCAAAAAGTTATCTACTCTCGCTTGAACAAACATTGACGATGCGCTACAATGTCGCGGTAGTTCCAACAGCATCCTGAAACCGAACCTTTAAACCAGTGGTACCACATTTGTGGTTCCATTGAAATTTGAAGAAAATATTCGATCTTCTAAGGATAACAAATTAGGGGATGAATCCGGTATATTAGATTTCACCAACTTTCCATTAATTCGATTTCAATAAAACTTTTCGCGGTCGGATTTTTAAGACAAAATTTAAATTTTTGCTGTTCATATCTGTATATTGTATAAAAGTGGTCATTGTATAGATTCATTATTTATTTATTTAATCCACATTGCAGTTATACATTAAAAAGATCTAATAATAAACTTTATTACGGTACATGAACTAGTCGGCGTGTAGCAAGGAGACTTAAAATCTAATTTTAAATTATTATACCTCATATTTAATTCATAAATGATATCGACGTGAACTCTCCGTGAGTTGTGACTTTATTTTTCAGTTAAAAATTAATTTAAAGTACTGTAGGCATGGTTACGCACTAAAACGTCTTTGGAATATGCAATAGAGGCCTGCTCTTTGGTCGGCCGTAAAAATTATTAGTCATTCACTCTTTCTTATTCTAACGCTAATTCTTCTTGTCATGAAATAATAATAAGTAATAAGTGTCCCGCTCCACTTCTCATCATCTTCAACAGCGCGCCGCTAGCATCATCAGGTGTTTGGATCTCGATTACGTTTTTAAAAATTCCTTTTGGATCCAACTCCCGATCTATTTGCACGCCCTGTCTCATCCTAAATGCCATGGTTACGCACTAAAACCTCTTCTTGAAAAATTATATTAGTTATTTTTTTATGTGTTAATGTTATTTTCTTTTTTACTTATTATTGGAATTTTATTATAGATTAAAATAGATCTGTACAATGAACTGTTTCTGTGTATTTCTAATTTAAGTTGATGAAGGATTAGGTTATACTGGCTACGGGGATGGTTGTGTTCCATTTGCATTTATCCAATAATGGCTGTGCTGCCAGTGAACGACCATCAACACGACACTCAATTTTTGTTTGTAGTTGCGTTTTACGTATAAAAATATTCGATTTTATTTTTTATATATTTGTTAGAGTCGATGAAACGAAAATCTGTCTAAAGGTCATCGCTGGTGTGGTGATATATAACCTTACGAATTATTCATATTCGTCAATTGAATACTTACCCAGTATTTTACTCTGTTTGGTACAATTTCCCCTGGCATTGTTGTCGTCCTCTTTATCGTGCTTAGATTGATCAAATCTATTCATTTTTCTGTTCTTATGTACATATATACGAGTACGCTATTTACATACATTATAAACAATATTTTAAAGAAATCTTAACTTCTCTATATTAATAATTTTATGTCTTTTCTGTATATTATTATTGGTGCAAAAATTTCATTTTTACTTTGGTCATTATTTTGTTTCTTATTATTTTTTATTTACCACTTGAATCACTTATATTGTCAACCTTATATTATTGTTATTAAAGTTTAATGGTTAACACATATCGATCGTCTTTTGTTTCTTTCCACGACTTATAAAATCAATTGGAATATTAAATTATAATTAAGGAAAATATTAATAATCGTTACTTAAAAGTGCACATTTTCCAAAAACCAAAATTCACCGATAAATCTATTGTCTGTAAATTAAATAATTGTTTACAACTTCGAGATTTACTCTTATATGGAAATTAACATACAAGTAACAACAAACAAACATATAATATTCACAATTTGTAATATTGAACACTATGCGAGAGAATTAATACAAAACTTTTTAAAAAAATCACGTAAATATTTGCGATAAACGATCACAACACGTGACGCGTCCTTCCCCGTCGAGTTTCGGGCAACAACTGACTATCAACCCCTGAATCTGCGAAGATTGTTCCGAATAATTCTGTTTGTCATTCAAAACGCGTGTCTTGATTCTTTAAACGGGGCCTTTAGATATTGTCAATCGATCAAAATCCACCCGGATAGAGATGGATAGAGATGTTTCAATGGGTTTCAATTTTATATGCAACGGGAGCAAAACGTGGATGGCTATTGTAAATAATAATACCAACAATGATGGCTCTTTGTAGTTCATGGTTATTTTTGTACATGCGAGCGTCATATTTATACCCTACATATTTATATTTATTATAACACGTATCTTGTCAAGAGTGATTATTCAGGAGATGGCAAAACTTTCTATTTATTTTAAATTTCTTATCAAAAAGGAAATGTGACGTCAAAATCAGCCAACAACATTTGCATATACAACGCATTTTTTTGCATTTCAATTAGTTTGTGCTCTAAGATACGAGTTTGAGAAAGTAAGGCGACGATTATTCTGCTAAAATCTAGTTGCAATGCATGTCGATAAAGTGTCAGTGGAATAGCACTGATGGCATTCATTCATTCAATCACCAATAATAATAATAATAAAAGGGTCCTATGAAAATTGAAACCGAGAAACGCCGGAAGTATCTCGACTTGGCGCACGAGATCACCGACGTGTGGGATGTGGCCTCCACTAAAATAATCCCAATTGTTTTGTCCGCAAATGGGTTAATTGCAGTCAACCTTGCTAACAGCTTGAGGCGGTTGGATTTCTGTCGCGTGTCGCTTCCAGCACAGGTGCAGAAGGGTCGGCCGGGTCTTAAACCTGAGTTCCACATCCCGGCCGACTGTGCTATTGGCGAGGAATACCGCCTCTCCCATTTAAAAATTCAAAATTACCTTTTAGGCCTTGGGAGAGGCGAGTGTCTAAAATAGATACAATAATAATAAGACATTTGTTCATAAGCACATTTACAATAAAAAGGTTAACAGTTTCGGAAATGAGGAACCTAGAGCTAATGAAAAGGATGGAGCCTCAGCACTATAATCTGCTTTTCAGGTTCCACCTTCATGCATGGACATACGCTGCTGACAATTATCCATACTAGTGTGCGATGTTGCTACTAAACCTATTATGAAAATTACTATGCATATCTTAATTTTTATCTCGTTTACTTCAACAATTTAGTCTTCAAATTGAATATAAAAAGTTTGTAGATTACATCAACAACATGCCATCGATTTTTATTTATCTTCTAGAATACAATAGAATAGACATTTATTGCAACGCCA